GTTTGTATACTGCTAAACATTTTAGAAAAATTGACTTTAATTTCACTGTCATAGTAAATTTGAAATATACTATTAACCGTCTATCACTGAATGCCATTGTCTGTAGGCAATTGTCTTTTCAGTGTTAGCTGGAAAAAGTCTTACCTGGAATTCTTCATAGCAGTACCTGTGTCTACCAAAATCAATTTAGAATCCAAAGTTTCTGCCCTCAGATTAAGTTTAAAGACACTCTTCAGGCTGGTGTTCCATAGCAGCCTAGGACGTGACAACCCAGGAGGACATGGAGACAATATAATGTTCTTTAGAATTTTTCAATACTTTCCTCATGTTTTGTTTGAGGTGGTTGTCTTCTGAGATAGTGTAATCAGGCATAAACTCATATTCAAGAAAAAGATTTGCTGTGGATTAATTACTATTTCAAATTATCCATGGAACAATGTTATATACTAAATTGAAAGCACTGTAATGTATATTTAAAAATCAGTTCTGTTATGCAACACTATTTGGAGTACCAATTCAAATAGTTTAAAGCTTCCAAAAAACACTTTTGAAGGATAGTCACTAGGCTTTTTTGGTATCAAATCGAACACCAGATAGTATCTGTTTGTTTATAATTTAATTAGCCAAACAATATGTATTAGAGTTTGAAATAATTAAAATGCAATAAATACATATTTTCAGAAATTAGGCATTATTTGTTTTTAAAAATTAATTCTAGAATTTCCTTTAGGTTTTCTTCCAATGTTACTAATGTGTCACTAGTAAATAGAAGCTCTAATGTTCTAATTTAAATGTTAAAAATTATTTGCTATCAAAAAAATCATAAAACTCTAGACACCTTGGGCAGAAAAAGTCAGAGCTAAGTGCAATAACTATATATCAAATAAATATTTTAAAGCAATTACTAAAATTTCTGGTAAAATCACCCTTCATCTACAGTTTTAGGGATCCTAACTATTGTACAAAAGCAAACATCTGTTATAAATTTCACCACCACTGGCAACTGTGTGACACAAATTTGGTGGAAACCTTCTCATATTAAACTAATGAGTAAATATATCTGTGAAGAGGAAAAAGCTTTCGTTTTTCACAAAAGGAATGAGTTCAACTTAGAACAGTTTTTGTTTGAAAACATATTTTGGATATCCTGGTAACACAATAGAGATAGGTAACACAAACAAACTTTTTTTGTGTACTTTTTTTATTGTTTGGAACACCAAAGTAACCCAAACTTCACATTTACAATGAACTTTTTAATAAAAATATGCTGTACATCATATTAGCAATACATAGTATACAAAAGTTTTTGAAAAGTAAACAGTTGCTTATACAATCAAGAGTATGAGCTGAATTGCTATCATCTTTAATGTTCCTTCTCCCTTCGATGACCAGTAACTGTAGAATCTTATCTTCACCTTGTATGAAAACCACTGTTCTAGCTACTTTGGCCAATGAGGTACTAAGCACAGATTTTTTAAAATTACCTTTAATGCATCTAGTAATGTTATATTTTCAGATAATCAGTAATATAGAAAAATCAATATCTCTGTAAGATATGTTTAATTCTTTCCAAATTCAGTAGTGGGGGCTACCTCAGCCCAACTCCAGAAACAGGAGTAACTCCAAATGAATATCCATGTTTAAATGTGATAACTGAGAATTCTTTAAACCAAACTATCCTTACATCCAAACCTGCCTCATCATTATTATTCTATGGCCTCAGTACAGAATTTCAAGAGTTGCTAAACATTTGGTCCCTGCTACTTTAGAAAAATTGGTATATTTCAGAAATTATAATCTATGAACTAAGCCCTGATAATACATTTACTTTAATGCTTCTTATAAGGAAACTATTAGACATCATTAATGGAAGAATTTGGATTTTGAGTCATGCTACTTATTAAGTAATACCCACTATGACTTAACGCTCACATTTTCACAGTAAACCAAACGATGGAGTTTAACTATGTGTGAACTTATGATTTGGTCTAATCCATGAGAATATCTGAGGCAACTAATGTCAAGATACATTTTTTCCTAAAAATTTTGCTTTCTGTCTGCCAATAAAAGATTAAGTGAATCACAGCTAAAGAAACATAATTTTAGAATTGCAAAGTCTTCTCCAGATGTCTAAGTATCATTTATGAAATTTGTTACATGTAGTATCACTCTCTGCTTACAGGCCCCTTGTCATGTATTTCATGTGTTAACCCACTGAATCTTGACACCCTAGTGTGTCATTTTTATCTCCCTTTACAGAAGAGGAAATGTGGGCTCAGTACAAACTTCTGAGTTATAGTTTTCTGTTCAGCATAACATCTTCTTTTATTAACTTAGAAAATACCAGACCACCAAGAGGAAACCAGAAGCACCATAGCCCCAGTAGTCAACGCCCAAATAACACCAGAAATACCTCAACTCAGTGATCCTTTAGTACTGCAATGCAATTACTGCATTCCTTCAAAATGATGGAATTATGGTTAGTCTTTTCAATGAATCTTCCTTTATTTGCATATACATTTAAAAGCAGCTCTGACACCAGGAGCAAAGCTCATCCTCCCGAGTTGAAAAAAAAAAAAAAATGTATGGACAGGAAGTTATCACTGAAATTAAAAGGTGGTACACATATTCAAGGAATACTGTTGGGATGTGCTATCTTTGTGACTCTTGTTGATAGAATTTGTAAAGATGGTAAGCTGGGGCAAGAGAACAATATTGGAATTGTGGTAATATAAGGAAATAGTATTACCAGGTCTAAAGCCCTGGAACGAGTATATATAACAGCTTTCAAGTGGAGAAGTCCATGTGCCCTCTCCGAAGGGCCTATTCTATTATGATGTAAAACTTGGGTCAACTTTTTGTTACATAAACCTTGTAATTAATTTCACTTTTTAAAAAACGTCAAAATTTATGTTATATTTTTTAAATTTTGTAATTAAAGGCACACAGGAGGCTTTCTCACAACTGGAAGTAAACTACTACATTTAGTTATAGTGCTGAAATAAGTTTCCATTTTTACCTTATGTCAAAATTTAAACCTTTTGGGATTTAAAATTTTGTTTTAAAATGTACAGACAAAAGTAGTCATTGGACATTTAGGATTAACAGCTCTGCACTGAAAACTGCCCATCTATCTACCCCTTTCTTCATGGAACAAGCGTGCCTGTCTCACGCACCTTAGACTGAGGGCAGGGATGGGATGGCTTAGCCAGATGTGTCAGATAGTGAGAAATGTGAAAGATTCTTCTGGGAGTGCTTAGTTTACTGAGGTTACTTCTCAAGCTTACCAAATTCTAATCTGTGTTTTTACTGAATTTCACATGTTGGATCCAAAATTTAAAATGTTCAATAGGAATAAAAAATAAAGGCAGGGCTTTCAAGACCTGATGTTAAATCAGAGGCAGGTACTTACTCTTCAGGGCAGTCTGAAAGAAGTAATCTGCTTTTAAACTCTTGCAGATCATGAAATCTTTCCACTTATTCAATGAATTTTCTGAGCTCAGAGAAAAGCACAAATGTATAGTTTTGTAAACAGTCTCAGATGGCCTAACATCCACGGACTCTAGACAAGGAGATTGCATTTCAAAATGAGTTCATAATGGGGTGTGGGCAGAGAGAATATGGAGGAAGGGAAATCGGAGAAAATTCTGATTCAGAATCTATGAATCTTGTGCAATGCCTTATCACAAATATGAAAAAAAGCATACCAACTGAGATCGAAAGACAGTAAGGTTCCTTGTCCAGTGTTGCGCCTACTGTAAGTCCATTAGACTTAAGCAATTTCCTCATTAAACCAATTTTCCATTACTATGATAACTACTACTACATTACTTTTAGTAAATTTTAGTCTCAAATCTTCTTTCATGGCCCAATTTGTGTGCTAAAAGAAATTTATGGGCTTATGCTCAGTCCTGGAGAGGGCAGAATATAACATGCCATTCAAAAACAAATTGACTTTTATTATAAATGTGGCACATGCATGAAATAAAATTTCAGAGGTACTGAAAAATTTAAATGCTTAGCATAAACTGATGCCCCACAGCTTTACATGTCAGAAGTAACCAGTGGTTTCTTTCCTACAACTATGTAAGATTATGGAAGCAAATGTGCACACACACATATACCTGAAAAATACTGACAACTGGAATGTTGTAACACTCAGAAAGTATTAACTTCCAGTTAGGAGAGTCAAATGTTAACCACACTTAGCCATACCACTTCAAATATAACAATTTATTGGTTTAAAAGGTAGTCTATTGTAACACGCACGTGATGTATTTATAATCTAAACAAGCTAGAGTTAGCTCTCTAAAAGATGTGTAAATAAGAGCAAGTCACCTCCCACTGATCATTAAAGTTGTTGGTAAAAGTATTAACAGATAAATTGTAGCAGAAGAAAAATGAGGGCTGGGGTCAGGGGAAAAGCGGTTTTTTAGTCCAGCCAACTGTCATTCAAAAAACTAAGCCATTTTATTGCAATGTATCAAAGGTGATTTTTTTTTTTTTAAAAAAAGCAGAATACAAAAAATGCTATTAAAGGCCAGGGGTTCAGATGGATTAAAATTAGCCCACACGGGGAAAAAACTTGTATTACCATAGAGATGTCTGTTTTAGAGCTCTGAGACTCTGATGTTAAATTAATCATGGACATGGTACCGATTCCTTTGCATAAAGACTGGGGAAGGGGGTGGTGCCGGGAACTGAACGCAGGACATTACACATGCTAGGCCAGTGTTCTATCATTGAGCCAAGCCCCTAGCCATTAATAACTTTTTTAAATACCAAATTAAGATACATAAATCCAAACTTTTATGCAAGACGAACAAACAGACATGATTTAATCTTTAAGGCTGTCTCTTGGTAAAGGCCAAGTGCACACATTTAGCAGGAAGATCTTCCTCAAAGAAAACTAGCTTTGAAGATCATTTTATCAAAATTAACATTTTTAAAAAACCTAGCTTGAAGGGGGAAAAAAACTAGTGATAAAAATATTAACTTACCAAGAAGTGAAACAGGCTGGGTTACAGGAGGGGTAGGCAGATTCGTGGGTGCAGCAGGTGGCACGGCAGAGCCATACATTTTCACACTGTCACCAGACTCGGCATTTCCTCTAGCCCCAGACACCACTGTTGGAATGGGATTTCCAATAGATAAGTCTTTTGTAGTGTCTTCATTTATACCAGCGATAGTAGCTAAGGAATATAATTACATCAACATGTGAAGCTGAATAATTAATTATCTCCCCGGTCAACATCTCTCTGCCATACTACAGACTATTACTGGTTCACTCTCCCTGCTAACCCCAGCTCCAAGAGGTCAAGGGAACACGAAGGAAAAATATGCTTACAGTTTGGGATGCTTATTGGTGGAGTGTGAGGAGGAGGAATGGATACTGGTGGAGTTATAGGAGGAGGGGGTCCAGGAGGAAGAAAACCTAGAAGGAGAATAGTAATGTTAATGTATACTATCATCACTTCAATTTAAGTTCTAAAGGAATGTCTGTCTCCTTAAACAACTTAATGTACCTGGTGGTAAATGCATTGGATTGAATCCTGGGCGCAAAAATGGCGGAGGGGGAGGTGGAGGAGGAACGCCAGGCCCAAAGCCTGGAGGAGGAATTCCCAAGGGAGGAGTGAAAGCGGGCGGCTGGAGAGCACCAACTACAGGAGGACCCGGCTGATGTGGTGGGACCTAGAAAGAAAATTAAACATGTGTCAAGTTGTCCCTGATGTGGTATGCACAGATGAATATTACATTGTTGAAAAGACAGATGTTTCTCAATCTATGCTCTTCACACCCCGATAAACTGATTAGACCTAACCTCTTCTGGGACTGTCTTTCTGAGGCATGATCAAAAGTATGGTGAATATTTCCACCAAGTGTCATGCAACAGAAAGGCAGGCTTATAAAAACATCAGGGTTATTTCATCTGCCTTATTTCCTAGAGGTGGTACTGTGTAACTTCTGGCTTTTCCTCTAAGTCAAAATGACCATGAAAGGTAATGTTTTGAATCTATTCAGGATGCCGACACAGCCATGGCAGCACACCTAGACACTCACTAAAGAGGACTTCCAGCTCGGCTTCAGAAAGTGGCATGCTAAGCATGTTCAAAGTGAGAGCGAGTATTCTGAGGAGGTACTAATGGCAATGCTTCTTTTACTATAATACATTTTAAAAATTTTACACATTCACTGTATTTTCCCATCATACCCTGTACATTATCTCATTTAATCCTCAAAACATATCCAATCAGGCAGAAGACCAGAGCCAAGTCTAGGAAAGGAAATGTGCACAGTTACGAGATAAAAAAATTAAAGCTAGAAATTAGGTGACCTGCCCAAAGCCATCTGCTGTGTATATGCAATGGAGTGGAAATGAAATTCAGTTCTACTAGAATCTGGGTTTTTTTTCCTGAAGTAACAGGTTGGTTGGCTTGCTAGCAAAGACTTTATACTGTAAGAATACTGTACATCTTCATGTTCAATGATGTTCGATTAAATAGCTTTCAATCATCCAAGAAAAAAAATTCACGATGCTAACAGTCAAAGTGAAGATTAAGAAACTCCTTTCCCCTGAAAGCAGCTGTGAGGTGAGTACATATCCAAGCTGCTCCAGAGCATGAAGCTCCTCAGTGAAGGCTCAAAAAAAGAAAGAGTAAGAACAATGTATGAAAGGAACAGGACTGAATTTTATGTCTAGGATACTATGAGACAATAACCTAGGTAAATGTAAAGCAATACAAACTTATTATGGTTTTTATTAACACTTATAAATATAACACAAATATGCATATTTCTGTACTCCTTTTTACTATGAATATTGACACAGATAGACCTGAAGATTTAAGAGAAATTTTTTGACATTTCAAAATTGAAATAATGTCCCAACATTCTCACCTGAGGAGGTGGCACTGTTATAGGTGCAGGAACAGGAATAGGAGGGACAGACACAGGTAAAGGTTTAGGGATGGGTGATACTGGTTCTGTGTGTGAGGTTTCTGCGCCTCCATTTTGAGCAACATCATTTTCGGGCTTCTTGGGAATTCCTTTCCAATCTACAAGATTTATAGAAATGTTAACAATAAAAATTTACCATTTTCAGTTTATAACTTCAGATCTAGAAAAAATGTTGATTACCAAAAAGGTGTCAGCTTGATTAAAGACATTTCCATGTTAATTTTATTTTTATTTTTTTGTTTGTTTTTGAGACAGGGTCTGACTATGTAGTTGAAACTGACCTGGACCTCACTAGGTAGCCCAGGCTGGTCTCGAACTCACAGTGATCCTCCTGCCTCAGCCTCGCAAGTGCTGGGATTACAGGCGTGCGCCATCCATGTTAATTTTATAAGTAATAATTATTTTGAATTAATGTATTCAGAGAAATGAAGAGAAAACATGTGATAAATGCTTAGTATGTATGCCAGGAATTGTCTGTCCTAAGCACTTCAAGTACATTACTCACTTCTTATAACTATCCATAAACACATACTACTATTCTCATTTTACAAACAGGAAAGCAAAGACAACTTATCAAAGGACACATTCCTAGGAAGGGGCAAGGGTGGATTCAACTCATAACGTGCGCCATCCATGTTAATTTTATAAGTAATAATTATTTTGAATTAATGTATTCAGAGAAATGAAGAGAAAACATGTGATAAATGCTTAGTATGTATGCCAGGAATTGTCTGTCCTAAGCACTTCAAGTACATTACTCACTTCTTATAACTATCCATAAACACATACTACTATTCTCATTTTACAAACAGGAAAGCAAAGACAACTTATCAAAGGACACATTCCTAGGAAGGGGCAAGGGTGGATTCAACTCATACACATCTCGTTCTAGACAGTATGTTCTTAACCAAGTATACCAAACTAACTGTGCCTACTACTAAAGAGTAACTCAGATATTTTTCCACCTATTTCGATGTATCTTCCAGCCAAGTAAAAAATGTTTCTTTTTTGTCCTTTGGGGTCCTGCTCAATCACAGTCTCCTGTATTTCTCAGTGTCTTTGCAAACCCTTCACAGGATCAGGAATCCCAGGATTCCACTATCTTATTCCTTTTATCCTGGTCCAGAGCTTCCCAGATGCCTGGCACATAGTAGGCCTCTCTGTCCAAACAAAAACTTAGCTCAGTCCGTTAGGTGGTAACACCATGCATTATGGAAGGAGGTGAGTATGGGCTGTCTCACTTCCTTTTGGCACTCAAACTATCACTACACAAATGTTTCTTCTGTTTTACCACTCTCTTTATGCTCCTTATTCCTCCTCTAGGTCATTATCCGTACAGGTCTGTCATGCTCCTTTCTATTGCAACCAACCTATCTGGCATCTATAATATTCATACAAATAACTGAACCTTCTGATCTTCACATTTTTTTTTTGGACTATCTGGACATTTCCAAAGAAATTATTACGAAGCATTGGGTAATAGTATAATACAGGTTGAACATCCCTTATCCAAAATGCTCGGGACAAGAAATGTTTTGGATTTTAGAACATCTGCACAGATTTTACAAATGGAGCATCTCTATTCAAGAAGCCTGAAATGTGAAATGCCCCAAAGCCGAAAACTTCTTGAATCTTAGGTTATAGCTCGGTTATAGATTTGAGAATTTTGAGAATTAAAGATGCTCTCAACCTATACTAATAATGCTCAGTTAAAGACTGATCAGTTAGATTTTCATAGTGAAAAATTGTACTTAATATTTACTTAATTCTGTAATTCCACAGTCAACAATAATCTCACTTGTGTTTGTATTCTCTCACTGGATATATTATAAAAGGGGAAAGACTATGTTTCTTCACTATTGTATCCTCAATTTACAACGGTGGAACCAGCACATAGTGGGTACTTTAAAAAGTTCCCTAAAATTTCTTCCTAATGTAAAGAATAAGCCACACATTTGTCATACGAACCACCAAACACATAGATTGTGAAAGAAATTAAGCACTGTTTACCTGGGTTAAGTGTATCACTGTCCAACATTCCTCCTTCACAAAAACTCTCCAGTTCCTCGGGCTTTACTTTGTCCCACGGAATATAAGTAACACCAAGTTCAACATCCCAATACTGCTTATAATCTGCTTTTATTCCTTTGTTTAAGGCCCAGGCAATCTATTTCACCATTAGTGAGAACATAAAAACAAAAGAAAGGGAAAAGAAGGCTGTTAGGTCTTGAGAGTTCACCACTCCTTATCACTGTATTCATCTGACTTGGACAGCAAGACACCAATGTGACCGGCCATTTTTGGCTGTATCTTGCTCAAAACCTTATTCTTTTTTCGTTTTTTGTTTTGTTTTTGGTACCAGGGATTGAACTAGGGTCCTTGCGCTTGCAAGGCAGGCCACCGAACCACTGAGCTAAATTCCCCGGCCCCTCAAAGCCTTATTCTTACCAGGGAAATAGTTACCATATTCTCATTGTCTTAGGATGAAAATTTCATCGTCATCTACCCCACCCTCCAATAAAACTCAGAGAAAATAAATAAGTTGATCAGGGAGAGACTGAAGTTTTCTGTACAGTCCAGCATACTGGACAGCACTTTTGAAAGCCTATGGCAAATCTGGCTGTGCTGGCACACACCTGTAATCCCAGCACTTGGGAAGCTGAGGCCAGAAAACCGCTGTGAGTTTGAGGACAGCTTGGGCTACACAGTGAGTTCAAAGTCAGCATGGAAAAATCATGAGACTCTGACTCCAAAAAAAGAAAAAAAAAAGTCTAGGGGAAACTAGCCCTTATTCCACATGAGACAGTCTTTTTGAGGTAAAATTCAAGGGTAGGATAAGGTGTTAGGACATTGAGGAAATAATTTATTTCTTGAGAGGATGAATGCCCATGTACACGACATCATTTTCTCTATGTTTAGTGATTATTTTTATAGTTTTATAGAGGAAAAGCTTTAAAATGTGGAACAGGCACTATTTATAAATAAGAAAACATTATTGAGATGTTATATTTAGCTGGGTGTGGTGGTCCAAGCCTGTCATCCCAGCTGAGTAAGGAGGATCACATGCTCAAGCCCAGCCTGGGCAACTTAGAGACCCTGTTTCAAAATAAAAAAGGCTGGGGCTTTAGCTCAGTGGTTCCGTCGCCTGCCTTGCAAGCGAAAGGTCCTCAGTTCGATCCCCAGCACCAAAAAATAAATAAATAAATAGACAGACAGACAGACAGAAAGAAAGGCTGGAGATACAGTTCAGTGCAAAGGCCTTGGGTTCAATCCCCAGCATCAGTGGCACTGGGTGTGGAGGGTGGAGGACATGAACAGGACAACAACATGACAGACATATACCTAACATTTAAATTTTTGTTTTAATTTAACACTGTAGTTTCTTGAGTCATAACTTGGAAAAAAAAAAAGATGCAAAGTGCTTCAAGTCATATCTAAGGCCAAAATTAGTTTTTTGTTTGTCTGTTTTTTTGAGACAGGGTCTTGCTCTGTAGTTCAGGCAGGCTTGAACTCACTAAGTAGCCCAGCCTGGCCTTGAAATTATGGTGATCCTCCTGCCTCAGCCTCCCAAGTGCTGGGGAGTATAGGCATGTGCTACCATACCCTGCCCAAAATTATTTTTAAAAAGCCACATAACTAGGGGGTGGGGATTTAGCTCAGTGGTTCTGCCGCCTGCCTTGCAAATGCAAGGACCCAAGTTTGATCCCTGGTACCAAAAAAAAAAAAAGCCACATAACTCCACATTAAAATTTCAAAATAATGAATTATAAAACTGTACCTTTATGGACTTCTGGTTCACTTTATAATTTCCTCGGCTCAGTTTCTGCAGGGCACGATAAGCATCTTGCCTATGAACCATAACGATATAGGCACACCCCCTCGGAGGAATCATCTGGTCCAAAACATTTAGTATTATAAAAGATGATAATAAAAGCAATAATATTTAATACTAAGTAGCCAGTTTCAACAACCCTATTCCTCACTGGCCACACCCATGAGGTATAATTTAAGGTTAAATTAAGTTGTGGTACATTGAACTCTACTTACTCTTCCGATTTTTGTTACATAAAGAATTTTTGCTAGAAAAAGGTTTTAAGGTAAACTTGGCTATCCAAAACATATTAAATTCAGAGAATGCTAAACAAGGATGGAGGATACCTAACCTTGTAGCCACAAGTTGTGTAAATAGTAACTCAGGTCTCAAGTCCATAATGTCATATAATGACATTAGCACATCTGCCTTGCCATTAAATAAATGATCAAACACTCACATTAATTGATTCAATGGGACCAAACTCTTCCAAGAGACTTGCAACATCCTGCTGAGTGGTCCTTTTGTCCAGCTGTCCCACCCAGAGAGTAGTACTACAAACTTAAAATAAAATTATAATCAGGACAGTACTCACATTTGATAATAAGCAGCACTCTACCTTACATCAAAAAATCATTAAGGGGCCAGGGATTTAGCTAAGTGGCACCTTGCCAGCCTCTAAAGCACAAAAATCATTATATAAAATGTATGAGTTGTATTATGATACCAAAAGCTTAAACAGAGAATCCCATATAAGTTTTTAAGATTTTAGAAAATCTTGTCAGTACTTTCACAAGTGGAACTAGAACAGGCATACTCAAGAGTTGGAGAAAAATGCTCTTTTTCTAAATAACCCAAAGATATCATCTATGAAAACTGAGGCCAAAAAGCAAAGAATCACTTGCCCACTGTTACCTGCCAGTGAGCAGCAGAACTAGGACTTTGCCCAAGTCCTTACCAGCCAATTTAGTGCTCTATTCGCTGTATGTAGCCATCCTCTCCCAACTCTGGAGTGCACAGTTTTCTTTTAAACTGTGTCCTAGGTAATAATACTTACAGAGCCAGGAATTTTACATATACTCATTATGAATTCAATGTGTTTAAGTTCCTGATTTACATCAAGAATATGTCATTATAGCTTACTAAACATATTTTAAAGATAACTGATATGATTCAGGAGATACTAAAGCTAATACATTCTGTAAATAATCAAATGTTTATGAAAGAAAGAAGGTAGAAGCTATTCCAAGAAAGAACGTAAGAAAGAAAGAAAGAAAGAACAAGCCCATCTTTCCACTGTATATTGAACTAGCTAAAGATTTTGTAGTACATAAATTCAAACAAGGCATTGAGAATACAACATTTAGAACAACACAGCCATAACATTTCATGTATGGCTTTGGTAACAGTTACAGAACATTTTAAATCTATGACAAAAAATAGTGCAGGAAGTCTGAACATAAAATTGTATTTACCACTTGCAGTTTCTGGTTTTATCTGAGGAAGGCCTTTCTGTCGACGTTCCCTCTCTTTCTCTCGATCCCGTCTTTCTTGGGATCGAGATCGAGGAGAATGTCTGCGTCTATCCCTGGATCGAGATCGAGACCGTCGGTGACGAGACCTTCGAGATCTAGAACCAGATCTTGATCGTCTCCTCTTTGGTGACCTAGTATTTTCATTACGAGGGAGAATAGATAGCATATGAAGACAAAACAGAGAGTAACAGGGTAAGCACATTCAAGTGAGGAGTATTTTGCGGGGGATTAATGGACTGTGTTATTACTCTGTAATAAAAATTTTATTTAAACATTCACTACATTTTTACTGCCTCTTGTATATCTATACATAAGTACATCAATTCAAAGCAAACAATGTGGGTAAGATGACAGGCCTTCGACTTAAATAAATCAGTATTTCTTTTGCCCTCTTTCCCCCATATACAGGCATATAAATGTACTGTTATTTTATTAACACTCTTAGTATCTGAAAATAATCTAATCTGATTTTCTTCTATATGTCTCCTAAGACATACAGAGCTTGGAAAATATTTTCTATAAATTACCTGGATGCTGACCTAGATCTTGACTTTCTGTTGTCAGACATATGCCGCTTAACCTCTGGAATACAAGGTTGTTCTACTTCCATCTCCTTAAAAACAAAGCAAACATAGAGTGAGACGTGTGGGAATTACAAAGAGCCTAAAATATAACAAAAGCTAAATTAAAAATCTCTGAGGAAACTGTCATTTGGTTACTTGGGACTAAATTACTAGTTTAATAAAGACTCACCATCATTGGGAAAAAATACCAAACAAAAAAACTTTACTAGATTAAACCACAACCTGACATATTTCTGCATATACAATTCAAACACCAATATAAAACTTATTAAAATGTCACAAAATATCTTTCTCAAGTTATTTATTAACTGTTGGAAATATTACTGGAAATACTTCTCCAGTCTGGAAGTTACTTTGCACAAGTTACCCTCCATTTTTACAAACTATCATCTAACAAATAGGTACTGGTTAAGCCTCCTACACTCCATCTCAATCCTTACAGAATTCTATGCAAGTTGGTCATGTTATAATGTCCACTTTCCCGGTGAAAAATTTAGAGCACAGAGAGGGTTTTAAATATGTGCAAAGTATTCCTTCATGTTAAAGAATGAATACAGAAAATAAATAAACAAGAATCTGTACATAAATCAAGGCAACCAAAATGACAAGCTAAGAACAAAATTTTACCTGCTGATGTGGCTTCTGTGAAAGTTGTTCAGTTTGTGCCTGAAAAGAGGGTTGGAAAGTCTGCTGCACTGGTGGAGTTGAAGGAATCACAGGTTGAGCCATGGGAGGAAATGGAGGTGTGGGAAGAAGTCCAAATCCTGGCATCTGTCCATTAGGAGGAAGTGGAACCTTTCGTTTTTAAAGAAAATGTATGAGCAGATTTTAAGTAACAGCTACCAAAAAAATAATAATTTACTTTATATAAAATTAAAATACAATCAAATAAACTTTGATCAAGGAAAAGCTACAATGATATTCAACATTGTTTAGCAATTTCTCCTAGTAGTCTTTTTCCACAGTATCGTTACATTTTCAAGTCTTGTACAGAGGTTAAAATTCTACGATTCACTTCAAAAGTTTTAAACACAATGATTTGGTTGTATGTATTTAAGGACAGATTTAAAGAAAAAAATTCAAATTGTCTTCTTTAAACTTTTAAAAAATTTACTAAGAGCAACTTCAATATATTGATTTTTTTTTTAGTTTCAAATAAAATATAGTAATAATGAGAGGAAACCACCACTTAATATATTTCCATATGTATGATTCAAACACCAATACAATAAAACTTGTTAAAATGTTGCAAAACATTTTCTCAATTATTCAGTAACCATTGAAATATGCATTCAGTAACTACTGGAAATACTTTCATGGGTTTTCTCCATATTTTAAATAGGCTTATAGGAAGGACACTTTCCACACTTCATCAAAGGGTCATTAAATCACCGTATCAATTCCATATTACCAAATATAAGGAATGGACTAAAAATGATACAGATAAAAAAATGAGTATCTTAGAACTGCTTCTAGACAGGCTATAAAGCAGTATTTCTACAAGCTGGTTGTACAACAGAATCACTACACTGTAGAATTAAACAACAACAACAACAACAATAATCCCTTAGAACAATTATGGCACTGGAAGGCTAAGCTCTGTGCCTTCCCTGGCCTCATAATTTAAGACATACAGCCTACTTTAAAAAACCCAATTAAGAGGATTTACAGAAACAGATCCATTCAATCCCCAGTACAGGGGTGGTGGGGGGAGAGCCAGAGACACACACAGATCCAATGAACAAATCTCTACTTTCTACACTTCTCCAGTGTGCTATGTATGTTCATTTTAAGGATTTCAAACTAGGTCCCAAACACTGGGTTGAAAGTCCTCTAAAATATCTAATCATACAGCATATAGGAAAAAGGACCCCTCAAAGGAAAAAAAGCTAAATAAGACAGTTTCTTTATACAAACTATAATCGATGTTATCTCTCTCTTTTTTTGTTTTTGAGACAGGGTCTCACTATGTAGTTGAGACTGACCTGGAACTTACTATGTAGCCCAGGCTGGTCTCCGAACTCACAGATCCTCCTGCCTCAGCCTCCCAAGTACTGGAATTACAGGCGTGCGCCACCACACCCAGCTTTAATCAATGTTATCTCTATAAACTATTTTAACTAAAATACCTATTACTCAAATATAGTCAAGCATATTATATTTAGCAACCTTGTTTTAATTACAGCCAATCACACAACTAAGTTAACAGTGGTGAAGTGAAAGTCACACTATCTAAGGAACATAACTGAAGTTATTACAATCAACTTTAAGCAAAATGGCTATACCTGGTGGCGCATGGGATCCTGTATTCCCATCATTCGAGGCTGAAACTGATCCATATTCTGATGTTGTGTGTATGTTGGCTGCTGCATGCCATCTCCAGGAAACCCGCTAAAAAAGGAGAGGTAAGATTCTCAGCCACATTTACGATACAGGAACAATGTTTTTCAGAAGTCATTAGTAAACTGATTTATATACTTATTGATCTATCAATCTATATACTCAGTATTCTCAATATAAAAAAGCCATCTTTATTTAAAATCTGACAAGATACTCTATGTTTAGAAGAAAACCTTAATAACACAATTTTACAAAAATAGTAACTTCATTGTGAATTGCTAAGTATTAGTTGCTTTACAACTATTACCAACTTTATATGTCAAGGAATTAAAAAACAACTCACAATGGTGTCTGTGGAGGAGGAGAGGTAGCAGCAGGTGCAGCAGATGCAGCGGCAGCAGTGGGGGCAGGTGTGGCCACAACAGGAGGTGCTCCAGTGGTGGTGGTGGTGGTGGTGGCAGTGGCGGTGGCGGTGGTGGCGGCGGCAGCGGCCACGGAGGCAGCAGCAGGTACTGCAGGGAGAATGGCAGCAGCATCCTCTTTTTTTGATTCTTCCACAGCTTCTGGCTCATCATCATAATCAAATCTATCAAGCAGCTTCTGGAATAGGTGTCAATGTTCTATTTTAAAATGCTGGCTGTGATTCACGAAACAAGAAACTTACAGAAACAACGGATGTTTACCTTCACCCATAACCACACCATGCTGCTGTGTACAATTTTATTTTTCCTACATGTTCAAGAGGATCTTGGTTCAAAGGCATTAATTTTTACACAAATGTCATTTTTGGAAAAACTTTTTGTTCTGATTTCTTTCTCCAATGATTAATACAATGGTTTCTTTTTCTTTCTTTTTTGGGGGAGGGTACGGGGGATTAAACTCTGGACCTTGCACTTGGCTAGGCAGGAGCCAGAACCACTGAGCTAAATCCCCAGCCTCTCAATGGTTTCTTTTTCAGTGACATTTTATCTGCTCATTTCATGATCATTTTGGCAGTATACATATTTTTCTAAAATATTCATTTAGACTAAAAATTTCTGTGACTCTATGCACATGAAAATGAGTGTACATTTTCAGTCAGCTGTAAAACATAAAAAGACTTGTCTTATGGTATCACTATAAATGCATATAGAAAAATGTCCATATGCTTGCACAAGAATATACTGTGAAAAAGAGAATGGCACAGGACACAGCACAAAGAAATTTCACCTCTTCACTACCTTCTCAAAACTTCACAGCTTATATCAGATTACTAGCAATTTTCATTAAAAAAACATCAATATACTTCATGAGGTTCCACGTCTAGAAAAGCAATTTAAGCGAGGTGCAGTGGTGCATGCCTATAATCTCAGCATTGAGGAAGGCTAAGGCAGGAGGCCTAGAAAGTCAAGTCCCACCTTAAGTGAGACCCTGTCTTCAAAAAAAGGGTGGTGGGGATATAGCTCAGTGGTAGCATACCCCTGGGTTTGATTCCTAATACTGGAGGTGGGCTAAAATAAAGACTTCTTTAGAAAAGATGGTAAAATACTGAACATCAACTGTGTTCATGCAGACTACAAAGATACTTCATTACCACAAGAACTCTGCAATGTAGGACTAGTCACTTCTTTTTATAGACAGGGAAACAAAGGCTTAGGTGATTAAGAAATACAACTTAGCTGTGCAGTCAATCAATGGCAGAATCACAATCAGGATGCGGACAGTGGTCTTTTTGTACTTCAAAGCCCTCAGTATCTGGCTTCCAAAATTAAACTTCGCTTTCAAACTGGCCCATTCCACTCATGGATTTTTAACCTCAAATTACTAAACTGATACTGCTCTATGGCAGTTCTGCCTAGAGATTCTGGTTCTACTTTATTGAACAGAGCTCTAAATTAGGAAAGGAAGGTCCCTCCTTGGACAACAAACAACACAGTATAAGACCAAACCAAGTGTAGAGTTGTTCTGCAACAGACAGAGCTACTGTTTTTTTTTTTAATTTGACTTTAGGCCAGGTAATTATTTCTTTTGGTACCGGGGATTGAACTCGGGACCTGTGCTTGTGAGCCAGGCAGTGGAACCACTGAACTAAATCCCTGGCCTCCTAGGCCAGGTAATTATTTCTTATAAATGAACAATTAATATTTTCCAAACACATAGTCCAGGTGCCCTGCACATATATTAACTTAAACTGCCACGTAGTAATAGTTATCACCATCCTTTTACAGTGATGAACCCTGAACATTTAAGTAATTCAACAGTAGGACAGTCACTCAGTAATAACCAAAATCTGGCCTAAAAAAACTAAACAAAACAAAACAAAAACTTATCTTTGCAGCTTACTGCAGATAGGATCTTTAACATTTTGTGATCTAAATCTAATGCTTTGGAAAAAGACTTGAAGTGATTAAAAAACAGAAGTCTATCAGAAAATAAATTTTCAATGTTTTTGAGAAAACTGAACCTCTACAAAGAAACCGAAATAGACAAATTAAGTTACTAGATTAAAAGAGACCTTTTTAGCCAAATAAAAAGCATGTAATTCCTTTTTGTAAACTTCATAGAAGTGAAAAAAGTAGCCAATCCATTTAAAAACAAAAACACTGAGGAATTACAATTCAAATTAAGAAAATAGGGTTCACCCACCATCATGGCTTTTATTCAATATTTTTCTGCAAGTCACAGCCATCAGTACACTATGGAAAGCTAACTGGAAAATTCATGACAGCTGAGAAAAGTAGCATTTATTACTGTGACCGCAAGACAAAATAAAATACAAATTTTGGCATTCTGAATCAAATGAAAAGTGTAATGAAACATGACCAAATAATAGAAGGAAAAATGTGTGAGACCTATTTAAAGAAAATTATAAAGGTTTGGTAAATGCAGAGTCTATAGTTTTTAGTACTTCCCCAATTAATCTTTAAATACAAAGAAATGCTAACATTTACCAGAAAGTTCACTTACACAAATATACTATGGTAGTTAATAATCTGTGTCAACCGGCTAAGTTACATAGTTGGTGAGTTGTTAGGTTAAACTCTAATCCAGATATAGCTGTGAAGGTATTTTTTTAGATGAAATAATAATTTAAACCAGTAGGCTTTGGGTAAAGCAGGTATCTTTTCTAACGAGAGGGCCTCAACTGATCAGGTGAGGATCTTATGAACAAAAAGTCAGGTGTCCTGAAGAAGACTTGAGACTATGACACTGGCTGAGTTTCTGGTCTTCTTCTCTGTGGAATTCAGACTCAGGCTTGCAATGTTAACTCTTACCTGAATTTCCAGACTGCTGACCTGCCCAATCAATTTCACATTTGCTGGCCCCAAGCTACATGAACCAATTCCCTAAAATAAACCTCTTTCCAACCACCCATCAATCAACTGATATAATTACTGGTTCTGTTTCTCCAAAGAACCACCATACACATACATGGTCATGAATAGCCAGAGAAGGTTTGAGAGATTATGTAGAGGAACATGTGCAAATAAAATACAGTATATATGTGGGTAGGGGTGAAACTGTGGTAGGGTGTCTTCCTAGCATGTACAAGGCCCTAGGTGCCAGTCCCAGCACTGGAAACACACACACACACACACACACACACACACACACACACGTTATTTCATCTGTCATGATGTAAAAAAATATATATATATACATTAATCTGACAGAAGAGTCTAGAAATAAACATAGTATACAGATATTTAGCATATGAAGAAATACTGAAGGAGAACAGCGCACAGGCTACCTTCAAAACTGTAAAGACAACTACATTGAAGCAAACTCTAAAACACATTCCAGAGGGACTAAAAGACAAACACAAAAGAAAAAGATATAAAACAACAAGAGTATATAGAATTATTTTAAATGTGTGGAGCATTTGGAAATCAACACAGAAATGTATTCATGAACAAAACCACCCATATTAAGAATTTATATTCACTTGTGCACAGAAACAAGTGTGAAAGAACATACACAAACAAAACTGTTCAAAGTAGTATGATAACTGCTTCCCAGTTTTCCTTTTAAACCTTCTGTATTATTTGCTTTTCCATAAAAACATGCACTCCTATTTTACTCAAAAATTTATTCAACTGTTGGGCATGGTAGTGTGATAGTGTAATTCTAGCTACTTAGGAGGCTGAAGCAGGAGGATTATGAATTTGAGGCCACCTTAGGCAAACACAGCCATGATCCGGTCTCAAAATAAAAAAAGGGTTTGGGATGTAACTTAGTGCTCCTCGCATTCAATCCCTATAATAAATAAATAAATATCCAACTTTTTTATTAGTAGTCGTTGATAAATCACCAAGCTATAAATGAAAAAGTATTTACTACAGATTTTAAATTTGAACTACTAACAATAAAGTTCTTACAATTAGAATGTTGGAATCAGATGCTTTAGAAATCATGAAACAAAAGTTGCCATTTAGTTATATAACTTTTAAGCTTTTGTACCTCTTTGCAGTAAAACTTGAAAAATCAAACTTTATACAGCCAAAAACCCAATTAAAACAAAAAATAGACAAGAGTGGAGCTGTGTGGGTTAAGATAGCACAATAAGCTCTAAGCTGTGCATGTTTGGCATGCCCATACCCCTAGTGGCAGATTCTTAAACATGCCTAAGAACCCTAACACCTGGCAGCGCTACTGAAATACAATGATCCAACCCAAACCCTCACAGAGAATGGCTAAACTGTGATATGCCCATGAAATGGAACATTACACAGTAGGGATTTAATAAAACATCTTAATCCATTAACAGCAACAACCACCAAACAAAAGTATTAAGATCAAAGCATGCAGATGTACATAGTATCAAAGAAAAACGTATCTCCATAGGCAATTATTTCTAAGAAGATATACAGCAAAATGTCACAGTAATAGCTACATATGTGAGTTAATGAGAAGATTTTCTCTTCACTGTCCTTTATTACTGAAAATTTCTGCAATGAGCACATAATGACATTTATAACCAGGAAAAATAATCAATGTTTTGGTGCATTAGAGGATCCATCAAACCACAAACAAAGCAAACAATCCAGAGAAGCAAACAAGGGAACGCCCATAAGCCAAGTGGAGTGGTACAGACAGTGAGGTGGGTGATGTGAGAGAAGCGTACCTTGTCAAATGCAGTTTTTTGTTCAGGTGGGGGGAAAGCAGCTTTTTGTTCAGGTGGTTGTGTAGGAGCTGTCTTTAACTGAGCTGTGATAGCCTGAACCTGAGCCATCACAGCATTGTCAAGGGCGGGAGACTGTGGTTTTGGAGGCTGTTGAAAAGTCTGAAGGATCTGCTGAAGCTTAAAGAATGGGAAAACTGATAAACCACAACAAAGTAACCAACCATAGTATCAAAATTAATCTACTGAAAAAACCTTACAGGTGACTGAATAGTATAGACATTAAAAAAAAAAAAAAAATCGACCTTTTACTAACAGGTTGAGACAGAATATATCAGGCACAGGGTATATCACTTAAAGTTAAAAATTATGCCAACAATCCCAAAGATATAAAATGATGTTCAAAGAGAAAACACACTGAATGTGAACAAAGTAATTTTTCAGAAGTATAGAGGAATTATTTCCAATCGAAATAATTTTGCAATCAGTCAGAAATGCTAGAACTGTGAACAACACCAGGCCCTTGGTTCCAGGCAGTTCTTGTTCCTTTTTCACGTTTCACATTTTATTATGTCATTGCTTTCCCACTGAAAGCTTTTTAAGTCGAAAAGTGGACATACTTTCTCTCTTCAACGCGCTTATGAATAAGAATGAAAGATAAGAACCGACAACAGTACGTAACCCTGTGAACACTTGGAGTCTTGAGTAGCAGCTTACCTGTTGGCCTTGAGTAGTCTGAAACAGTTGAGCCACAGCAGCGAAAGCATCAGAGCTGGGCAACTGTGGTACAGTAGGCATAGAGTTTGGAGTGGCTTGTGGAGGTTCAGAAGAAATTTTTACTGGAGGTGGAGGTGAGCCTAAAAAAGAAAAGGGCATTAAGACCTAAGAAAATCTGAGCTTAAAGATTTCTTTTTTAAAACTCCTTTAAGTTTCTTTGCTAAAATAAAATCCATCCAGTTTATACAGATTGTGGTAACTAGGGTTTATATCCTAACAAGTTATCAAAAGAGAGTATTTACACTAGAAAATAAGAATTATGGAAAAACTCTCCCTCAGAAATAAGCGCAAGTGTCCACCAAAACACACAAATGCAAAACGCTTCACATTCGAAATATGTACAATTATCTAAGCTCACAGATAGACGTGATTGTACCTTCATTATTGGTGACATTTTCTGCTACTGGAGCAGCATTACTGGTTCCTGCTGCCATGTCCAAAAGAGGCTGAATTATCTCAATTTTGAACACTCCATTTTTTTGCCAAAGGTTCAGCACACGAACTATTTTACTCTGTTATATGCCAAAGGAAAAAAAAATTTTTGTAAATAAATTATACTCTTTATTTAACAGAGAGAGCCACCCTCCCGTTAACATGTTTATACTAAGCCTTTCAAAAACAAACAATTCTGTCAGAAATATAACCTAGTTAAACTATTTTAATTAGCCTACTTTGGTGGGTATAATTTAGCCAAAGACCAGAGATAGAATATAGACCCAGGGAATAAAAATAAATGAATTATACCTGGTGTTTTCACTATATTTTATTTACAGTTATAAAGGTATTCCATCATGGACCAAAAAGTTATTTTAAGAGAAATAAAAGAAACACAGACACATTTATTTGGGATGATTATAAGTTAAAATATTTAGGAAACTGGTCTGTAATTGAGAAGTTATTTGTTTTGTGACAAAGTAAATCTGAAGGAGATCCAAAGAACATGTGCTATTATTCATGAATACAATTTTTAACTCCTACTCAAAGAATTGTCCTTTTTCCCCACAAGAGCATTCCTTTTAAGAATGTAAGCAGAGAAACCATAATACCAAATTTATATTCCACTTATTGTAAATGTTCCCATTCTTCATTACTGAGTATATACACCAGTGTAATTCTTTCACCTATTTAGAGTCCACTTACTATATGTATAATGCTCTTCTACCTTCCTAAACTACATCGTAAAATCAATCATACATGTGAAAAACACTACAGCCACAATGGCAAGCCTCTTTTAAGAGTTTTCAATGATACAAACAGCCTGCTGCAGCATGTGTGCCATAGGCTCACCACCACTGCTCTACAGTGCAAAAAAATTTTTTTTTTGGTACTGGGGATCCAACTTGGGTTCTTGCACTTGTGAGGCAGGCAGTGGAACCACTGAGCTAAATCCCCAGCCCTACAGTGCAATTGTTAATACTGCCTACGCTCTACCATTATTGTATGTTGGGGAAAACCATCAATTATTGGTCCCTTCCTTCTGGAATTAGCAGCAATCTGAGCACCATCTTTATCTACCATAAAATTTCTTCATTACTAAACTACATAAGCACATCTTTTCAATGCGTTTTCTTTAAAGAATAAGTTTATTTTATTTTAGTATAAGAACACTTAACATGAGATTCACCTTCTTGACAAATTTTTCAGTGTCCAATCCAGCATTGATAACTATAGGTGCCATGTTGTTCAGCTGATCTCTAGAATCCACACATCTTGCTTAGCTGGAACTTCAGACCCATTGATTAGCAACTTCCTATTTCTCTCTCCCTCTAGTAATCACTATTCTATTCTCTGAGTCTATAAATCTGATTCCTTTTATAACAGTTCAACATTTCTGAAAGATTTCACAAGAAAACAAATATGACCAATGCAGAGAAAATGTGATTTCACATCAAACTCCCAGAGATTACACTACACAACTCTCCTATCTAGCAAGATAGCAGGCCTCACAAGTCTAATTTGTATTTAAATAAATCTAATAAACCCCAAACCAATAAGAATGCAAATTTTAAATTTAAAAATTAACAATACCTTATCTTCAGATGGACAAAGATATAAATATTGGAATGTGGCAGTTATGTTTTTAGAGAATCTTGGCCCAAAAACATCTTTATCAGTTCCAAACTGATGACGAGACTGTCGCACAATTGAGTCAATTACGTATAATCCTGGAACTTTGTATTCTGGTTTACACTGCAAGGATAAAGATATAAAGTCAACACAAGGAAAGCAAAATCGCAATTTGACATTCATTAATTACCTATTTAACTTTTATATCCATTTAATGACTGCTTACAATTTACTCAGATGTTCATCTAACTGGCTAATTTGTCAAAATTTCCCACAAATGTGTAGAGAACCAGCGTTCACTGATACTTCAGGTGCCTAAGATTTTACTCTTCTCTGATCCATCTACCTCCCTTGCCACAATTACTCAGAACTGATGTTACCAATCCTTGTATCACCATCACACAAATTCACTTATGATAGTCTCCACTCCAGCTCAACAATTTTTACCTTTTAATTTAAACAAATGTTAATAATGTATCAATTTCAACAATGTTGATATTTTGGGTGTTGACAAAGATAAAAAATAGAAAAGCAGGCACCTACATATATTTCTGGTTTTACTAGAAAAACATGTAACCCTTTCTGTTTTTTTTTAAAGTAGTACATGTTTATGATACATAATAAATAGCATCATTGTGGGAGTTGGAACACGTACATATCACATCTTAATCATTTTCCCTTCCTTTATCCCCCTACTCCTAAACTCCCTTCCAGATATAAATGATTTAGCAATAAAGGTGAAGTCTTATTTGTCTCAATAATTCTACATTTAGGAATTGATGCTAAGAAAAACAGCAAGTATGCATATATTTTTTCTATAAAGTTAGCTCTCAAAGCATTTTCTCTAAAAAGTAATGATAAATATAACTATCCAGCCAAAAGGAGCTGGCTGAATAAATCATGGTAAAAAATCTTATTTTTTTGGTAGTAGTAGGGATTCAACCCAGGGCCTTTGTGCTGAGCTATATACCCTGCCCATTTTTCAATTTTGAAACAGTGTCTTGCTAAGTTCCCCAGGCTGGGCTCCCAGTAATGTACCACCATGCCCAGCTTGCTTATTTATACTTTGATACAAACATGTATTAGTACACACTACATGACACAGTTTTACGTCAAGGGGATAAGACAAAAATATGACTGTCCTCAGTCTTCTACTGAGAAGGAAATGCTAATCACATACACTAATGAGAAGGTAACAGTTATAGAACTAAAAATTGGTTTAATTCAATGGAATAGGGAAGTATTGTGAAAACTTTTTAAAAAGTAATTTCATTTGAGGTACTACTTCAAAGGCAAGTTAAAATGTCAGCAGAGTAGATGAAGTGAAGGACAGGAAGCCCATTTAGCTAGGAAGGATCCTAGCCCAAAGAAAAGATAACTATTAGATGCATGACAGTTATCAATGCACTGCCAAACTCACAGTAAATGCTCAATCAATAGTACCGTTTCTGTAGAGTGGTTTTGGAAGCAAGCTTCCAGATTATGATTTACAAATGTACATCAAATAAAATGAATTAATAAGATAGTTACCTTTTTGATGAATTTTTCTACTATTTGAACTACATGCTTATAAAGCTGAAAAGAATTAAAGAAAAATTACTGCAAATTTACATAATTACATAATTCTACATTTCCTATAATTAGAAAATTCTTAAACTTTGATATTTGCTGAGTTTAAAGAAACATTAAAATAATACTCAAGGAACCATCAAAAATAATCCGAAATGGCTAACAAAAAAAAAAAAAAAAAAAAAAAAAAAAAAAAAAAAAAAAAAAAAAAAAAACACAAAAAGAAAAAAAAAAAAAAAAAAAAAAAAAAAAACACACAAAACAAAACAAAAAAAAACCCTTAAATAACACTCAGGGAAAAAAAGTCAAAACAACCCTCATCCCCATGAAGGTTTTTTTTTCTTAATTTTTTTTTCTTTTATTGAGTTTATTGATACATTTTAGGTATACAGTACAGTTACATTCATCACTGGGATCTTGTACCTTTACATGACAGGTCTTGGTTTTCATTTTTTCCCCTTGCCCCTCCCCTCACTTCAGCCCATCCTCCCCTCCCCCTCCCCATTTACAAACACTTTAATTCCATTTTTTCACCTTTTTTTCTTTTCCCTTATTCCTCTTCCTCTACCTTTCCCACTTTCCCTAAACCTTTATCAAGCAGGGTATCAGGCAAACTTACCAAATGGTTAAGAACAATGGAATAAGAACTAAGCAAAGCAGTTCATAAAATAATTAAGTTTAATCCCAGGTAAGACATTTTATTTCTTGGAGCCTGTTTTGTTTTTTTTTTTAAGTTTTGTAATAAGAGGGAAGCTAATTGTTGTTTTATAATTAGGATTAAATAAAACAAAGAAAAAAAAACTTTTTGAAACAATACATTACAATATAAATAAATGAACCATAGTAGAAATCTTACGCAAAAGCTGATCAGTGTTCTAATGCTCTTTGATTCAGGCCTGAAACTCACAAAATAAAATTGCACTAACATTTTCAAAATTTCAAAAACATTTCTACATTAAATGTACTTATTTTATTCTTACCTTAATAGCTTTAATAGCAGCTTTAGTGATGAGAATCATCTTGGCTCTAGAGATGGGAGGTTTCATATCCATAAGTGAAAAGAGCTTAAAAGAAAAAGAAGCAAAAAGGTAAATTCAGAGGTCAACTCCCTTGTTCTACAAATATATGTTCAATCTATTACAAATAGAAAAACAAACTTTTGGAACTAGAAGTTTTAACCATTTGGCCAGTAAGTAAAAATCATGAACTTCTCTACATATTTGTATTACCACTTAAAAAATACAACAGAAAAAGATCACATTTAAAATAAAGTAGAAAGTAACTACAGAGCTAGAGGCAAAAGCTTTAAGAAATTTGTAAAATCCAGACCAAAAAAATTAAAAGCTTTATGAAAGAAACAAAATTATTTAAATGGAAACAAACACACCATGTTCCTGGACTGAATGAGGCAACAGTGTGTGACTGTCAATATATAATGTATTTTCAATCCAAATCTGAGATTTCGGAGAATTTTAAATAATTTTGGGGCTCACTTGGAGAAACAGTCAGACAAGAAATACAAAGCAGTATTATGAAGTTCTAATAATATGTAATGCCAACGTAAGAATTTAGTTTTTTCATTTAGTCACAAATAAACCCTACAGCTCATTTTATAAAGGTCAACACCAAATTAACAAACCTCACAACAGTCATTAGGAGCTCCCTTGGGGCTTAACCATGCATTTAACACTCCTTCCTCAAATCTAAACAAAATACAGAGTCCAAGGACAATTATAAAGATAATATCTTGACGTGAAGCAGCTTCTAAGTTTTTTTTTTCTTCTCATTGAGTTTATTGGTACATTTTAGGTACACAGTACAGTTACATTCATTATGTAACCTTTACATGACAGGTCTTGGTTCTCATTTTTCCCCTTGTCCCTGCCCTCCCTTCACCCCTCCTCCCTTCCCCTTTACAAACACTTCATTTCCATTTTTTTCATTTTCTCATATTTTTTTCTTTTCCCTTATTAGCAGCCACCCCTCTGCTGGGTATCTTTCCAAAAGAATTTAAAAAATCATATCACAGTGATACATGCACACCTATAGCAGCACAGTTTGTAATAGCTAAAACTTGGAAACAGCTCATTTGCCCATCCGTTGGAAACTGGACAAAGAAGATGTGCTTTTTCTATAAAATGGAATACTACTCAGCCATAAAGACTGAGAAATTAGATTCATTCATAGGAAAATGGATACATATTGAGGATATACTCCTAAGTGAAATAAATAAGTCACACATGTGTAAATACCGAATAGTTTCTCTGGTGTGAATAAACTATAATAGTACATAAGATCCTAATGATGTAATGGACAATGTGAAATAGGAAGAAAGGGGCTAAAGGTGTAGGGAAAGTGGGAAGGATAGGGGAAAGCTAATAAAAAAAATATCTATCTATCCTCTTAAATTCTTGTTTTTCTTTAGTTTACTCACAAGTATGCACTCACCTGGGACTTCTAAAATTATTCTGAAGTGTAATTCAGGGATTCTTGAGCAAGTACAAATCTTTCATGAATCCCATTCAATTTCATTACAGTTGATATAGTATTTCATATATAGGCTACCTTAGGTAACAGCTAGATGCTACTAATTAGCTAGCCTAAAGAGCAAATGTCTTTTTCCCAGAGTAAATAGCTGTATTTGGTAGCATATTTTCAAAATTCACAATTTTCACAGCTTTTCTTTTGGTACTGGGGATCAAGCTTGGGTCCTTGTACTTGTGAGGGAGGAGGCAGAACCACTGAGCTAAATCCCTGGCCCTTTCACAGCTTTTCAAAACTACACACACACACACACACACACACACACACACACACACACACACACACACACACCACACACAGATTCTCAAAAACACACACACACACACACACACACACACACACACACACACACACACACAAAAAACAAAAA